TCTTGCTGCCTGCGGTTGCGCGCCCTGAAACGGATGGGGAGGGGCTCAGCCACCGTCCCGGCAGCCGAGGGAGGGACCCCAAGATCTTTAAGGCCCCCAAAACCACCACCCAGCCAGGCTGCGGAGCCGCCGGCCGCTCCAGACCTCACCTGGAGAGCCGCTCCTCCCTCAGGGCCTGGATGACGATGCGGGTGATGTTCACAGACATGATGCAGAAGGGGAAATTCTGCAAGAGAACGAGCGTTACCACAGCTCGGCTGGAAACCGCCCCCCCGGCCCCCTCCTCTCCTGCGGCACACGGAGGTGCCCAGCCACCTCCCGCCCTTTTATGCCACATCCACACAGCCCAAAGCCACGGGATGGCGGCTGCGGGCGATAAATCCCCATAGCAGGGTGACGATCCTACGGATACAGGCTTAGATGGATGCTGTGGGTCAAGCCGAGCTTATATCCCAGCTCAAACCCAACCATATCCCAGACCAAAAGGCCAAGTTTAAGGGGACAAGACTCCACTCGCTCCCCCTTTTCATGCCACACTCCTCTGTGCCCGCTCCTCCAGCCCTTTTAACATGCACAAGCCCGGCTCCAAGCCAGGATCCCGAGAGCAAATCCCTGGTCCTCCACAGCAGGATGCTAAAAATCTCATTCCCAGAATAAAGCCAACACCTGGAGCTTGGCTCCTGCCACTGATTGGGGCTCCTCAGCTTTCTGGGAACCAGAATCCTCCCCCTGCTGGGGGTTAAGCAGTAAAACAAGCCAAGCCCTGACTCCGAAGGGGAGCTTTTTGTGCTTCCCTTTCCCCAAGCAGTGGACAGCACTGCGGGAAGATCAGAGAGGGCGGAAGGACGTGCCTGGGTCTCGTGCTGCGACAGCTTGAAGATCTCTTGAGCCAGGGGCAGCGTCTGAGCGTCCATGACGAAGTGCAGGATCTGCATCAAGCCCAGCATCCCCGTCCCTCGCAGGTCAGTCCCGGGATCCGCGCCTGGAAGGGCAGAACAGCCCGGTGAAGCGCAGGGACAGCACGGAGTCGCTCTCCAGTCACCTCCCCACGTCCACAGGCTCTTTATAACCCGTCCTGGTGTTTCAAGAGCGGAGGAATCCCAGCGATTCCCTTCAGGAAACACATCCCGAGGGAAAGCTTTCGGGGAATTTCCCTAACCAGAGCCAAGCTGGGTGCCGTAGCCACTTTCACCCTGGCACTAACACCCCCCTGTGCCCACTCCCATCCCTTCCCCAGGAATTAATAGCTCCAAAACCCGCCCCAGGTCACATTTGGCTGGCAAAGCAATGCTTAAAGCCAGTTGTGTACGCGACAGGACCGGGGAGCGGGAGCCGTTCCCCTCCCGTCGAGGGTTTCAGGCTTCATTAAAACCTGGCCTATTTAACTCGTGAGTCAACCAGCCTGAAAACTCCTGCGAGGCCGCACGTGACAGCGTTAATCACGCTGTTTATCTGCCAGAGCCGAGGCTGAAAGCGATCGGCGGCGCAACCTTCGTGACAGAGCCCTGACCCGCGCTTCGCTAATAAACCAGGCCTCTGGAGACGGCTCATTAGCCACAGAGAGCGCTTGCTAATGAAGAGCATTAACGGCCCAGGCAAAACGGTTGCGCCAACTCGTTATCTCCAGCTCCAGCTGGACACAGGCAACCCCGGCAGCGGGTATGGGTGTTCTCCGGCCACCAGTCCAGATGTTGCACTGGTTGTGACAGCTGGCTGGGGCAGTGGGAGATCTGCTACGAACCTGGGGCTCAGTACCGGGGCCCAGTTCTGTTTGGTATCTTCATCAGCCGTCTGGGCGAGGGGATCGAGGGCACCCGCAGTGTCCCCAGGCAACACCATGTTGTCCTGAGGCTGCCCCTCGAATGCTGGGATCAGGGTTGGGCCCCTCCCTCCCAGAAGGACCTGGGGGGGCTGGAGCGTGTCCAGAGAAGGGCAGCGGAGCTGGGGAGGGGTCTGGAGCCCCAGGCTGCTGGGGAGCGGCTGGGGGAGCTGGGGGGGTTCAGCCTGGAGCAGAGGAGGCTGAGGGGAGCCCTCATCGCTCCCTACAACTGCCTGAGAGGAGGGGG